AATAACCTCGTTCTAAAATAGTTAAAGCATGGCAGGGAGGGCCTTATGGCTTGTTTTGCGCCCTTCAGGTTTGCCCTCCGGCCTACGGCCCTCAGGCTAACCTGTCGGGCACCAACAAGCCATAAGGCCCTCCCTGCCATGCACTACTTCAAGTACAATTGTAAACCTATAATAATTATTAGTATCCGGCACCGATCAGCGATCATCGCGTGTCTCTACATAGCTGCATAGTCTCTGCATAGCTGCGGGAACTACATGTAATACGAGTGTACATGTACATGTATGTACAGCACATCCGGTTCTCCATGCGGAAACAGCGAACAATCATGTGTTTGTGCAGGTTCGAACATAATAATTATGTTACCAAATGCAAGACACAATGCTCTCCAAAACGGAGTCCGCCATGGCATGGGTAACGCTCGCCTGCTTTGTTGTTCCGCCTGATATCCAACTGCAAACGCGGCGTTCCGTGACTTGTTTTCCGTGACTCCGTGATTTGTTTTAAAACCATGTGCGGCTAGAGCTAATGCCAGTGGTTTGCTAGCTGGTTAGTTTCTACAAACACAGTTCTGTAGTCTGGACCAGCGCTTTCCAACTGGCGTGGTCGTTTCAACCCAGTTCCACATCTTCTTCCTCGTTATTATATCTACCACTGGTGCGAGTCTTGGTGATGGACTCAGAGCAGTCTTCTTCCCGTGAAATCCCCTCAACTCTCCGTGTAATTTGAGCATTTGGCGTCCTTTTGTAGAACACTCGTACATATGCTGTGTTAGTCCGAGCCGCAGTGCCCAAATCAGTGGTGAGGCTGAAGCCCGAGACGAGACGGAGCGAGCTGCACTGCTTCGAAGCAAGTAAATTCGATAGTGTCACCGGGAAGTACATGCAGAGATTACCGGCGGGAACTTCGCCCAGACGTCCATTAGAGGATGGTTCTTCGAAGGTTGGAGACCACGGCAGGAAGGCTTTGTGTGCATGCCTTTGCACGTGTGATGGAGTACGTCATGGTTGTAGTGTTACTGGTAAGCACCGAAATCGTGGCGGGCAGTAGCGAGCCATTTCGAGATGTCACCGCCTTTCCAATGCAACCGATTCCATTCGAAGTCGAGCGACCATATGGCGAGCAAATTCAAACTCCGACAGCTATGGTAACAGAGACAGTGATGTTCCGAGAAAACAGTAAAAGCGAGTACACGCCACATTTGATGTGTATGTACAAGCTATACCACGGCGCAACAGCCTACTTGGATGTGGCTGTGTACGATACCAGCTACATGGGGGGTCAAACATGGCACTTGCTAGAACGTGAAGTGGATTTGAGCGAGGCTCTGGATGCAAGATGCTCGTCTTCTTACGTTTCGCTTATGCCAAGCATAGCTGTGTCTCCATCCAAGCATCAGGTCATAATGCATGGTTGGGGCCCTGGTGAATGTGGAGAGCTGTTGCTGATGTACGACAGTGACCGGAGTACCAGGGTCATTCGGGCACAGCAGAAACAGGGGAATCCCCCCATTGGCGAACTAGGAACAGCTCTGGTCACCATTCCCGCACCAAGCGCTCGCGGAGGGAATAACGTGTATCGGAGCTCTCCATTCTTTTTGGTTTCATTCGCAGGGTGTGCATGGCATGGCTATCAGCCAAGAACACACAAGTGTTCGAATTACTCCGACGGCCTGCATCAGTTACTGGTAAGGGTGACCGAGGAACAGGACGGTGTCGGTGTCGAAAAATGGGAACACATCCAGCTGAATGAAACCCAGAAGCCTGAAAGTCGAGTATTCGCCAGGCTCTTCGCAGATGGCAATACCTCCCTTGTACTGTTTGGTGGATGGAAGCCCCTTGGACGTCGGAATGGCATTGCTACTTTGGATGTCTGGAGATTCGACCTTTCATCGCGGATGTGGGCAGAGCTGGGTGCTGTTTCCCTGAAGCTATGGAAAGCCTATCATTCCAAGAGGGGTCCAGGCTCGTTTGATATCATGGCATCCTATCAAGCCTCGCTTAGAACATTGGTCATTTACGACAACTTCAGACGCAATGGTTGCCTTGCCATTGTTTGCTACCTTTGGGAAGGCTCTGCCAGCTGTGCTAGGGCTTCGGTACGCTCGTCGTCCCGGTTTTTCCGAGGCATCTGTTGGGTAAACCTGGCATCAGGGACGACATCTTTCTATTTCGTATCTTCGCTGGGAAGAGAGATATCATCAGTGCGCATATACACAACCGTCACCAGGAATCGAATAGTTCAGCGACTGGAGCACCATGACTTGGGATTTGCGAAGGGCTTTCCAGGCTTTAAAGGAAGCTCGCGGCGGGAGGTCGCGGCCCTGCAACAGCCCGTGACTTCCAATGAGAATCGACAGTACGTATTCTTCGGAGCAGGAGGCAATTTAACGGCTGCGAGAGAAAGCCGACCAATACGGGACTTCATTGCTCAAAACAATGCCTCAATGCCAGTGTGGATATTACGCTACAGCAATCCAAGAAGATCAGGAACGCTGTCAAGCTTTGAGTACACTCTGCTCTATCCCAAACCGGGACCCAAGGACCCACTCCGCCACTACGCTAGCGTCACGTTTGTTACAAACAATACTGCGGTCTTACATGTATATGGTGGCTACATCAGAAGTTCAGCCAGGTCAGCTGAGCCTGATCCCAATCCAACGTGCTTCAATCTGCAGCGTCACTTTTGGACTAGAGCTGATATTGCAGCGGGTACTGTACCTTCGCTACGACGAGGGCACGTGTCATTCCGGCACAACAGCTCTGTCATGGTTGTGCATGGAGGAATTGCACCATGGGACGACGTTCTGGGCGATCTATGGATGCTCGTCATGGACGACGAACATCGCTGCAAAGTTCGCTGGCATAACCTTACGCCTCATGTCAAGAACAGACATCTACCCCAGCAATTTGGTCACAGTGCAACCCACACTGACAATGCTGTAATCCTGTACGGTGGGCGAAAACCAAGCCCTTCTAAACTCACATTCGTTAGAATACAATCGTCAACTTGGGTTTCGGTAAGCGATATTCCTATTAGCCCCAGCATTCCAAACCGCTACTACCACAGTCTCTCGTTTTTCAACCCTGACCTTATTCTTCTAGGAGGATCTCGGGCTGATGGTGATCGAAATCAGCCGCAAGCAGACTGGGCATTGCTGATGTCCTTCAAAAGAGCAGGAACTTCCATGATCGCCACCTCGACAAGATTCTTCAAAGCCAACATCGGGTCCCAATTGGTCTTTGGAGATATGGTGTTTTCAGGCTACGGGACAGACTCCAAAGTCAAGCTTGAGTCACATTTCAGCATTCTCAACACGACTGGACTGTGTCCTATTGGACATGAACGAGATCAAAACAACTCCTGCCATCCATGTGCCATTGGGTATTACTCAGCCACTCTTCAACAGCAATGTACAAAATGCAACCATTCACTGACAACCAGAAATGTGGCATCCAGTCATTGTGTTCCAGACAGCCCGTGTAAGCCACACACGTGCAGCAATCATGGTCAATGTATCGTCGACGAAGTCCACTTCAAACATATCTGTGTTTGCCAATTCGGATATCTTCCCGATGATGACTGCAAGACACCATCCATCTACCTGGCCTTGATGGCAGCTCTTGTTTTCACGTCCACTCTAACTATACTCACCATTGCTCTCATTCAGTTCTTGAGGAAGAGGAGAGCCCTCAATGCCAAGGAAATCGAATTAGTCAAGACCAACTGTGACCTCTACCGTTCCAAACGAAAACTCAGTCAACTTGATCATGGAACATGCATTGCCTGGTCGGATCTGAAGATCAAGAAACAACTGGCTACTGGAAGATTCATTAAGGTATTGCTAGCTGAGCTAGGCGATATGTCTGTTGTGGTTAAACGACTTCCAGCATTCGTTTCCACTGCCTCACCTGACCACATCTTCATCCAAGAGGCCGAAGTTCTTCGAACATTGCGCCATCCCAATATTGTCATGTTCTTTGGAGCTGGAAGGGACACAAGATCAGGCTGCCCTTTTCTAGTTATGGAATATTTAAGACGAGGCTCACTCTACGATGTTATCCATGATGAATCCAAAGCAATTGAACACATCGATCGCCTTCGCTTTTCCCTGGATGCTGCACGCGGAGTAAAGTACCTGCACAGTGCCAGTCCACCAAGAATTCATCGTGATATCAAGTCAGCCAACATGCTGGTCAGTGATAAATGGGTGGTGAAAGTAGCTGACATGGAGACTACACGATTTCTGGCTATCCTACAACCTAACACTAAGCCAAAGGAGACCTCGTCCGGTGCTGCTAACGGAGAAACAGATCACCCTAAACGCACTACATCCTTCACAAGCCATCAATCTGATCTGCTGACAACACCCCTTCTAGCTACCACAGTGCTCAGTGATGACAGCCATGGTAATACTCAGGACAGGCACAGATACACAGAGGGTATGACATCACGTATTGGAATGACGTGTGGCGTAGGCACTGATCGCTGGAGATCCCCTGAATCTATCAAGAAGAATCTCTACACGGAGAAACACGATGTTTACAGGTAAGGCTCCAGTGCTGCCCCACTGCCGACATGAAAGGAAGAGTAAAGTTCGCGTTTCCGTGTTTATACAATATTGTTGAGAAACATAACTTCTTGGCTGGTGCTAGTATCGCCATAAACCTGGTCAATTCTGAATGCACATGATCTTCAACCCTGAAACATACCACTTTGGGGAATCCTAAATACCAATAAACAATTGAAATGGCGCACTTTTGTGATCTACTGGTCAGACAACTTGGTGAACGACTGGGACATGGAGTCACGCAATTGCCACACGGTCTGCTCTATTTGCCATTTTCTTGGAAAGGACCGTGTAGAGTCTACGTGTGACAGCACATCTGCCAGTAGGCCCAGGCGAATAATGCTCGGAATTTGATGGATTCTTTCAATATGCTCGCATTCTGCTCCAAAATAGCACTGATAATGCTTGAATTCTGCTTCGGAAGAATGGAAA